ATACAATATATGTGAGAAATGGTAATCCAGCCTTGCTGGAAGACTTCTAGTGAGCAGAAACTCACTAACCTTAGAGGCAGCCCATCGCCCTTGTGAAAATCAATCAGTCAACAAGCATTTAGCAGTTTTTCTGTACTAGGCGTACGTGCAAGGTGTCTGGAATTCATGGACAAAGAATGAAACAATTCCTACTCACCAATGAGCTTATATTTTACTGAGAGTAGACAACAAATCTACACACATACACAATCATACACATTCATACAAGGTAGCTTGAGAGGGAAGGGCACTAGCATTTTGGAGGTTATGAACAACTTCATGTAGAAGCCTGAGCTTGATCTTAAAGGAAGATCTCTAATTGTTAGGGCATTTTCCAATACATGAAGCCCAAATCTGCCTGTATGAAACTTCCATATATTCCTGTCACTGTTTGTCCTCTGGGGCCAATCAAGTCCAATCTCTTTTTCATGTGACAAATCATCAACTACTTCAATATAGATATTCTGTCATTTCCCCCCCCTCCCCCCAACGCCATCCCCACCTAAGTCTTATATTCTTCAGGCTAAACATTCCTAGTTCTTTCAGCTAACCCTTGTTTGGTAGCATCTGGGCCCTCCTGGTCATACTCTTCTGGTTGCTTAAAGCTAATCAACATCCTTTCTAAAATATGTCAGTTATCCTGACATGCTTTAACCAAGAGAGGGTACAAGTGAGACAAGTCCTTGCCCTAGGCATGATGCCTCCTTCACTTAGTTTCAAAAACTCAACTCCACAAATCAGCTTAAATCAATTTCATGTGTTGGAGGTGACTTGGTTAATCAACAGTCCTAGTGCAATAGATTTGTGAGTTTTTAGTGGACTTGAATATCAATATAATTCAGCAGTGCAACATGGCATTCAAAACAACTAATGAGATCATAGGCTTCATTAAGAGAAGTAACTGAGGCAAGTAATAGTTCCATTGTCACTACTCAAATCAAAATACATCTGGAGTATTGTTCCATGCCTTTTTAAACATTATTTTATTTCAATGAACAAAAATCTATTCTCTCTCTCTCTTCCATCGAAAAACAAAATGAAACCTGATTAACAAAAATACATAGCCAGACAAAACAAATTTTCATTGGCCATGTCCAAAAAAAAAAAGTCCATGAACACTGGAAGTTCACCACCTACTCTTTCAGATAGTGGGTACTATGTTTCATCATGAGTCCTCTGGAATCATGAGGTCATTTTGTTGATCAGAGTGCTAAAGTTTTTCATAATTGTTATTCTCATATGAATTGTTCTGCTTCTGCTTACTACATTCTGCATCAGTTCATGCTGGTCTTCCCAGATTCCCTTGAAACCATCACTCTCATAATTTCTCAAAATACAATAGTATTTCATTACATTCATATATAATCATTTGTTTGACCTCAGAAATCATAAAGCATAACCAGTACCCCACCAATCCTCTCGACAACATTTTGTCTTTACTTCTTCCATCCCTAGGGCTAAAAATAATGCTCTCTCCATTGCCTGCTAAATCTGAACAGAGCCAGCCCTGCTAGTGACTAAGAAACTTCTCACTACTGTGCAGGTCTGGCTCAAAACAGTTTTGATCTGCTGGCTGAAGCCTTGAAAAGCTGCTTGAAGTATGGGAGTAGCATTCCATGTTGTACCAGGTGATGTGGGAGCACTCAGTGAAAGTCAATTGAATAAACTGAAGTTGAAGATTAAAATAAATAGCCTTTGTTGATTCCTTTCTTCCACTACTGCCTTTATTATCAATTCATAGAACTGCCAATCAAGATGAAATCATTACAGGCCTGTAGCAGACAGATGAATTGTATTAATATGAATTTTTAAAGTAATTTTTTGAAAATTATGGTTCTTTGGATAAGGATACTTTGAGCTTCAGGAAAGTAAACATTTCCATTTTTTGTAGCTGCTAAAACTTCCTGCTCTATGGGGTTTAATTAGCATTATTCCTAACTGATGCACCGTATTCTCTTACTCATCAAATCTTGTCTTGTTTCTCTACACCTCAGCACTTAGTCATAGATCCAGAGAAGCTTAGAACTATAAATGACCATAGAGCTCAGCTTGTCCAAACCCCCTCATTACATGGATATTGAGAAACTGAGGCCCAGAGATGCTCAATAACACATAGTGAATTAGTGACAGAGGAAAAAAAAGTCTCCTGACTCACAGGTGCTTTTAGGTGCTCTCAACTCTCACCTGATCTGTTTTAAATCCCCCCTCTCTAGCCTTTCCTCTTCAGAGGATAAAAAAAATCTCTTTGCAAGCACACATGCCACCTTTTAGTGATTTCCTACTTAATTAGCTGGAAGTGATGACCGCTAGTGAGAGAGGAGATGTCGGGTTCAAAAAAAGGCAGTGGCTGAAGTTGTTGTGGTTCTTCAGCCAACACTGTGCCCACATCTGTACTGAGAGATAGACCTGTCTCCAGGCTACTTTTATGTTTTTGCTGACCTCAGAGTGCAAAGACATTTGAAAGGGGTTAAATGTCCGTTTAATTCAGAGCAGATGCTTTTAAGCCTGCATAGTAGGACTCCAGGGTCACATTACATTACTTTCTATGTCATTTTCCTATGTGTAGTTTTTTTTTTCCTATGGATTTAGTTTCATGTAGCAACCTGGAATACCTTGTTAAGTAGTCAAATGATAGGCCTAAGGGATGAAAAAAATTAAGTTTGTTTTAAGCTCAGTACTCCTTTTAGAATCATAACACCCTAGGATGTTTAGATCTGGAAAGGGATGTAAGAGATGATTGGTCCCATGCTCTAAATCGGATCCTGTGAACCAAGTTATATCCTGTAAAACCCTGGCTTTCCATGCAATGTGAGTGGGGTTTAACATGATAAAATGTGTATTCTAGCAATATTTCCCTCTCTGAAGTTTTTTTAAATGTGAAATTATTATAGTACTTGGTGAGTAACTGCAAATGCAAGCACTTTGTATTTTTCTGTGGAAAAGAATGAGTTGGCCAGGATGACAAAGTTAAGGATGGGCTTTAATTATATTACCTTTACTTCCAAATGCTTCTGAAGTTCATTTTTTTCCATTGAGGATACTGTGCTGCTTCTGATATTTTAGGTTCTTAATCTTTTTGCTGTGTTTGACTTCCTCCCTAAATTGAAACTGTTCTCTTCAAATGTACCAGTAATCTCATATGTTGCCAAATCTGATGATGTTTTCTTATTCGTCATCCTTCTTGGATCTCTGTGTAGTATTCAGAGGTGCTGACTACTGTCTCTTTTTCCCTTAGATCTGTTCCTACCTGTCTTTCTGTTCCTTCTCATTCTCTTTTATTGGATCCTCTTCTGTAGTGTGTCTGTGGGTGGACCTCAAGGCTCTATCTTGGGCCCTCTTTTTAAGTACTTAATAAATGCTTGTTGCCTGAATATTTCTCTATACTCTTACCTAGTGATTTGATCAGTATTCAAGGGTGTAATTATCATCTCTATGCAACTGACTCCCAGTTTACTAAATCCATTCCAAGTCTCTCTACTGAGCTCAGTCCCTCATTACAAACTGCCTACCGAACATTTCAAATTTGGTGTCCTATAGGCATCTCAAACTCAGAGTTTCTAGAACACCACCACCCTTCACCACCTCTAATCCCTTTTTTTCAAACTTCTGTATTTCTGAAGAGGGCACTATCAGTCATAGGTTCCCAACATTGGCATTATCCTTGACTCCTCCTTCTTCCTCTCCCCATTCATTTAATTACCAATAAATTAATAATGTTATCTATCAGTTTATTTAATGATTAATGTAAATTCATTAATCCATTTGCTTAATCAGATTTTATCATTATTACCTTCACAACAACTCACATCTATCCACTTCTCTCTCCCCACATAGTTGATCAGGGCCCTCACCACTATCTACTGCTGAACTCTTAATTGGTTGCCTCACCTTAAGTCTTTCTGTTCTCTACTTCTGTCTTAAATGCAGATTGACCATGTCACTCCCCTACTCACTAAATTCCAGTGGATTCTTAGTGACTCTGGGTCAACTATCTCTCATGTTTATCCCATCCTTGTTTAATTTTTATTTTCTTATACATTTTCTAATGTTAATTATTAGCATGATGGTACATGTTATAAATAAGTAAATGTACTAACATTTACATGACGCTTTAGGTTTTATAATGTGCTTCTTATTGAATCCTCATGCCAACCCTGTGAGGTACGAGCCATTACTATCCTATTTTACCTTGCCTTGGGTCATACAGCTAATTTGTGTCTAAGGGAGAATTTTAACTCAGGTCTTATTTCTTCATCATGGCATCTTATTTACTTATTAAGTGGGAACCTTTTAGTTCTTAAATCATTATACTTTGGTGAAGACACTTCAGTTGTATTAATTTTTCATCCTTGAGTTATATGTATAGCTCATATTTTTATATCTTTGTAATATATGGTCAGTCCAGTCCTAGGTTCTCCTAGCTCTCTCAGGAGACTGTAGTTCTCCCCTCCTCACGGTGCTTTTTTTCAAGCAAAAGCTGCTACCTCCTAGGATAAACTCTGTAGAAGGAATTCAAGCTTAGTTACCATTTGGGCTAATAAGTCATTTCTTAGTAATGGGTCTCTGAAGTAATTTGATTGGTCAGTTAACAGACATTTAAATGCTTATTATGTGCCAAGTACTCTTCTTAGTGCTGGGGGTACAAAGGAATGCCAAGAAACACAACAAAATAGTCACTGCCCTCAAGGAAGTTTCATTCTAAAGAGGGAGACAACATATTGAAATCCAGGTATATATGAGACATATACTTGGGTAATCTTGGAGGGGAAGGCACTAGCAGTTGGTTCTTTCCAACTCTGAAATTATATGATTCTATATTATATTTAAAAGATTTTCTTGTTTTGCTCCCCAAATCCTGAGTGCTAAGTGTTTTGAAGAGTGCAGAAGGAGGGCAGCCTTCCTTTGCTGATGTGAAGTTGGTATTTGGGTTAACTTTTGTTCTTCTCTTTTTATATGCCCAGGAACCCCAGAATTCATGGCCCCAGAGATGTATGAAGAGCACTATGATGAATCCGTTGACGTTTATGCCTTTGGGATGTGTATGTTGGAAATGGCTACCTCAGAATATCCCTACTCAGAATGTCAGAACGCTGCCCAAATCTACCGGAAGGTCACTTGTGTAAGTCTGTTCCAAGGGTCCCATCCCTGGTTTTCTTTAGAAAATTTCTCTCTCCTACCCTACTGGCCAGGTAGTTGTGTGTATAACTACCCTATTAGAAATATAAATATCCTTCTTCCTTCTTTAAAAAACAAAACCCAAGTCTCAGTAGGGTTGGTACATCCTGTGGTACAAGGTTTCAAGACCCAGGTGACCTGAGGAATGTTCATTCATCTGCTCTTATTGATGGAAGTTTTTCCTTTGATTGAAGGAGTTCAGCTGTTAAACCAGTCTGCTGTTATGTGATTCTTAGCAGTATCACCAGACATTACTATAACACTCACTTTAAGGACTAAAAATACATTACAAAACAGCAGATCAAATGCTGGTGTAATTTATTCTCACCCCTGTAACCTGCCTTCTTTTTCCCCAGGGTCTTCATTCAAATGAGTGAAAAATAAAAAGCTTGGTGAGATTGTACCATTCAGATTTGACCATTTATTTATTTATCTTGAGGTTGGAGTAGAATACCATGTTCTAGCTCAGCCCAATCAATTTTCTTCGACTTACTTTTGGGCTGATGCTTAGATCTGCTCATCAACAAAACATTTTATTCTAGAATCCTGGGGAAAGGTAGCCTCAAATCTTGGAATTCATATACCTATATATGTATATGTGTGTGTGTGTGTGTGTGTGTGTGTGTGTGTATATAATTTTTTTTTTTTTTTTTTTTGCTTTTTTGGCTAGGCAATGTGGTTAAGTGACTTGCCCACAGTCACACAGCTAGTAAGTGTCAATTGTCTGAGGCCAGATTTTAACTCAGGTCCTCCTGACTCCAAGACCAGAACTCTATCCACTACACAACCTAGCTGCCCCAGAATTTTTTTGAAAAAAGAAAAGCAGTTAGTGCCTGCATTAGGCATGAAGCACTGTTCTCCTGAGCTCAGTACTTGTATTGTTTTGTCTTTTTACAAGCAGCATTAATACCAGTTGCTTTTATAAATCTGGTATGGAGGGATTTGTTCATTAAAGTCCGTAAGATCCTCCCTAATAACAAGATTAGAACTTGATCCTTACTCTGTGCTCTTGTTTTGGTGGATTTGAGGACTAGATCTTGAAAGAATAATTTACTTTCTCTTTACTTTTTATACATTGGTTTTGCTAAGGAATTGGGGATTGCATTTGAAATATAAATCTCTCCATACTGAGAATACCCCTATAGACCTGGAATGCTATTTTCCTAGCTCCTTTAAAAAAAATTTTTAATTTTTCTGCAATTACATGTAAAAACAATTTTTAACATTGATTTTTAAAAATTTTGAGTTCCAAATTTTCTCCCTCCTTCCCATCCTTCTTTCCTTAGGCAAGCAATTTGATATAGGCTATGTATGTGCAGTCATGCAAAACTTATTTCCTTATTAGTCATGTTGTGAAAGAAAACACAGACAACAAAAAACCAAGAAAAATAAGAATGGTAAAAAAAAAAAAAGTGTGTTTCAATCTGCAGTCAGATTCCATTAGGGATGGTTCTTTGTCTGGAAGTGGATAGCATTTTTCATCATAAGTCCTTCCAAATTGTCTTAGATCATTGTATTACTGAGAAGAGCTAAGTCACTCATAGTTGATCATCATTCAGTATTGCTGTTACTGTGTACAATTGTCTCCTGATTCTGCTCTCTTCATTTTGTATCAACTCATATGAGTCTTTCTAGGTTTTTCTGAGAGCATTCTGTTCATGATTTCTTAAAATAGTTTTTCATCGCTTAGTAAAATAATTTTTCATCACAATCATATGCCACACCTTGTTCAGACTTTCCCCAATTGATGGGCAGCCCCTCAATTTCCAATTCTTTGCCATGCTACTATAAATATTTTTGGACATGTGTTTGTTTGTTTTGTTTTGTTTTTTTATCTCTTTAGGACAGACACCTACTAGTGATATTCTGAAATGCTTTTCATCTTTTAAGCCCTAACTCAAATTCCACATTTTCCCAGATGCCTTCCTTGATTATTTAAAAGATAACATTTCCCATCTTTGGAAATTGTACAGTGCTTAGCTGTAGTATTCATGCAGTACTTATCCTGTCTTGTCCTGTAGCGCTATTCATGCACATGTTATATTTTTCTGGATTGTAAACTTCTGGAGGCCCAGGATAATGGCTTAGACTTCTTTGTACCTTCTATGGTTTCTAGCATAGTTCCTTATACAGGGGAGAGCCCTGTACCAAGGGTAGAAGCCCTTCGCAGCTCTGCCACTTAATGGCTTTGTGATATTGGGAGTGTCACCTAACTGCTTTCTAGTCTTTATTTCTTCATCTATAAAATGTATATAATCTCTGGATATTTCCCATTATAGTTGCAAGGATCAGATTAGATACATAAACTGTAGAATGCTCTGTAAATGGGATATACTAGTGTTATAACTGAATCTACTGCCTGCAAAATGACATAAAGTCTGGAGTGTTGTGGTTTTTTGTTTTGGTGGACGTTCCCACAAGTGATATGGCAAGTGGTTAAATACTTTGACCTTAAAGGTACAAAAAGTACAAATTCAGTTCTGAAAATGTACCCCCTGTATGCTTCTCATGAAACAGTCTTCTGAGGTTTGAATTAGGGACACTTGGAGGAATGTTAATAAATAATCAGAAGGTAAAGAATTGGGTTCATATGTGGTATGGAGTATCACTGAAATTTGTAGTAAAATGTTTAGAGAACCAGGGTCAAAACTTTCAGAGATTTTAAAAGAGTAATTAAATGTGATTTTGGAATCTGATTCCCTCTATGACATCCCTGACAGGCGATTATTTATCCTCTGCTTTATGTGGCATCGAATGTCCCATTTCATAAGGTAGTCCACTGCATTTTGGGACAGCTCTGATCAGAAATTCTTCATCATATTTTGCTGAAAACTGTCTGGCTCCTTTTAACAACTAGCCATTGTAGTTCTAACTTCTGGAACTGCATAAAATGACAACCTTTCAAATTTTAGACAGCTGTAATATCTCATCTTCATACCAAGTCTGAGCTAAGTACCTCCAGTTCCCTGATCCTGACATGATTTCAAATCCCATCACTGTTCTGACTATCTTCCTCCAGACATATTCCAGCTTGTCACTGTCCTTATTAAAATGTCGATTAGAAAATGGAGCATCCATCTTCCAGGTACAGAATGACCAGTGCAGAGGACACCAAGACTGTTTCCAAGGGCAGTAACTAGGGTGGGGTATCTGGGCTCTGCTCCCAGAGTACAAATTCATTTAATACCTAATTAGCAAGAGTAAGTATAATAGGAAGTTCTAGGGGCTTCTCCTTCCACCTTGGCCCATAGACTTAGCCCAGGCGAATCCATCTCCATTCCCCGTCTTTCCCCTCCAACCCGGAAGCAGCCTTTCATCCCTTGATTGCCTTGGGCACGGTGGTTTTGCTGTTACTTTCTGTGACTTAGAAAATATACTCCTTTTAATGTAACCTATGGGTATGGTAAGTCTTTTTTTCTATTAGTTCACACTGTTGGCTCATTTTGACTTTATAGCCAACTAACTGCTGAGGCTAGTCTCCATTTTGGATTTATGCAAATTTTTTTCTTTTTTCTTTCTAAGTTGCAGAACTTATTTGTCCCTATTGAATTTCAATTTATTAGCTTTGCTTGATCCATCATTTCCCACTGTTAACATTTTCTGACTTTGTGTCAGTAATTAGGTTCACATGTGTGGGGTGTTACCCCTAAAATTTGTAATAGTGTTTATAGAACCAGAGGTTATAATCCAGCGTATTAGCTATCCCATACAGTGTTGGATTAATGTGTCATAACACAATCACAAGAGTTCGAAGTTAGAGGAACATCAGTGATCCTTTAATCCAATACATACTTGAAAAAAATAATTCTCACTACAATGTATAGACTTTGTTGACCTCTTGAGGAGAAACTGAGCATCTCTTAAGGCAACCAATTTGACTTGTGGCTACCACTAATTGTTTGCAAGTTTTTCCTGACATCAAACCTGGATCTGTCTCTTTATAACTTTGTACCAGTTTGGTTCTGTCTGGGGACAAACAGAACAAATCTAATTTTTCTTCCATGTGATAGTGTTCAAATACCTTAGATGGCTCTCATGTTCTTCTGGGTTATCTCATCTCTAGGTTAGACATCCCAGTTCCTTTAACCAATATTCATATGACATAAGCATTTTAACCAGAGTGTTTCCTTTCCTCTGAATGCTTTCCAGCTTCTTGTCCTTCATAAAATGTGGCACCTAGGCCTTAACGTGATACTTTAGATGACACTTGATCAGAACAGAGTGCAGTTGGATCATTACCTTCTTATTCCTGGATAGTTTCATTCCTTGTCCATGGAAACTGTTTAGTATTTAATTGGAGAGGCCAAGGATAGACCCATTTGATATTTGACTAATGACCTTCCTTCAGCTTAACACAGAACCACAAATTACATATTTTTTGACATGATTGTTCAGCTAGAAATCTACCTCACTTTATTATTATATGAGCAATATTTCTTCTTCCTGTTTAAAAATATATCTTGGTTGGAATCAGATTAAGTTTATCTGTGTATTTCACCTGTTCTAGTACTTGTTGAGGTGGGATGGGATTGGGCAGAAGAAAATAGAGTCAGTTTGGCATGACTTTTTCTTCATGAACCAATGCTGGCTTCTGGTGATCATCATTTTCTCCTCAAAGTACTTTCTAATTATTAAAAAATGTATATGATAAATACTCTTTTTCTGGATTATTGCCCCATACTATAATTTTCAGAATCCCCCTCTACGTCTCCCTTTCTTTCCTAGATCTTTGAAATTTTAATATTTGTTTTTCTTGTTTCCTTATGCCTCTGGTCCTTTCCATTCATAATCAGGTGGTCTTGTACTCTTCTTTGTTTTATCTCAGGTGTCATTTCCCTCTTAACTTGACTTGTTCTACTCTTTCCACTTTGGAGGTTTTTCTCTTATGCTGGAACTGAGAGAAGTAGAATTTGAGCTGGATAGATCTGTTTTCTCTCTGGCATT